ACGTCTATAAATCAAATAAATCATTAACTACATGGTTTTGTAGTTTCATTCTATCTAAAAAGTATTCTTGTTCGTCATGAGTTTGTATTTTTATCATTTGCAAGAAAAATCATGATTGTAATTTTTTAAAAAAATGGTTAAGCTAAAAATAAATCAAAAAACCCACAACAAAACCAACTAGAATAATCCAAAAAAACCAAAAGCATTCATTTTCTCCACACACCTTTCATTACATGCTTTCCTGAGTGTTTTCTCTGTAGCTTTTTTAAGTAGCTAATTTTCTCCACCAAAATGTAGAGCTGCCCTAGTCCCATATGATTTCATGTTAAATTCAGTAGTATCTATTTAATTCAGTTTCCTCTACAGAGACATAGGAAACATCTTGGGTTATCAGAAATGCATGACTGTGTGTGCTTTTTATAGGAAGATGCAATTTCCAAACATTTAGCTTTGTAAAGTGGATTTCAGCTTCTCTGGAGTACCTCTCATTTACCCCAGAGACCTTGTGTCTTGAAGGAATAGTACTAAGCAACACAATTCTATTAAAATAAATCAGGTACATGTTCACATCACTCTTCTGGGAGCATAAACACCAATTGGATTAAAATAATAGTTTGAAAGTAATTTCATACATCTATGTATCCAGAAAAACATCTAAATTTGCATCCTTTAAAAATAGAGTTGCTGGAAGACACATATAGTTTGCTTGGTTATTGGATGGACTCCTTTTAGTGTACCTGTCCTAAATCTGAGCAGCTAATAAATACCGATTTATTATCGGTACATAATAAAGCTAATAAATACAACTTCTGCAAATGTTCATCTTACAAAAATGTTACCGTGTCCAATAGAAGTGCTTTATATCACAGAGTCATAGAGTCATGTTGGAAGGGACCTCTGCTGAAAACAGGATCAGCTAGAGCAAGTCATGCAGGACTGTGTCATGTTGAGTTCTGAGTATCTCTAAAGGCAGAGACTCCACAATCTCACTGGGCTAGTGTTTCGTCACCCTCACAGTTAAAATTATTTTTTCTTACGTTTAAATAAAGTTTTCTGCACTTCAATTTGTACCGATTGCCACAATCACCACTGAAAAAAAAGAAATATTCTTCCACTCAGATTTTTTTTGGTTGATTTTTAAGGAGATAAATGTAAAGCCTGCCTAATTTGATCTTGAGTACATGTAAATGAATGAGCCCTATCTATTCTGAATCATAAAACACATACACATTTAAGGCTAAGTTGTTAAAATGACATAAAGTAGTTATCATGAATTAGTTTTTTCACCTCACTTTCACTCACACTGTCTTATCTCTGGCTTGTGTTCTGTAAGAATAAACCTGTCATGTCCACAATATTTAAATCTTTTAAAACCATCTGTTCTTCTCTGACAAGGACAGTAAGTCTATTGTAAATGTTTTATTTATTCTGGTACCTCCCCTGTTCTTCCTTCTATCTTTTCTGCCACCTTTAAAATTAATTCTTCCTATTCATATCCTTCTGCAAATCCATGCACATGGACAGTATCATTGGTACACAAAAGTCAAAATTTTACTTTTCTAGACACTGAAAGCCTAACAAAATTGAAAGCATAAAAAGCAAGCCAAAGGAACTTCCAAAGGGAAAATTTATGGATATTTTTTTCTTACAGAAGTCTTTTGATAGGCTTTGGTAATTTTTTCTACAGCTGTTTTAACAACATGCAAAGGAATTATCTCAACCTTCAAGTAACTGAAAATTCAAGGAATTATCATATAAACTACTGTACTGACTGTTCACTCCTATTAGTAAAAAACATAATTTGAGAATCATATTTCAAAGTTAGTTAACTAAAAGCTAGTTGACCTATTGACCTATAATAGACTCAGATTTCCAAATTAATTATCATTCATTGTTGTGCCTAAAGAGATAATGAATTGTCTTACAACCAGCACTTCTTATCTTCGATTGACCATTCTAATGAACTTTACAGCTCTTTTTACTTTTAGCATACTAATACATTTCATATGACTAATTTTAATTTTATTAATGAAATTTTCAGGGTTAAAATGTCATAGATATATAGTTCCAGAAATACCATCAGATCAAAATAGCCATATATAATATTGACCTGATCAACAGGAGTAAATTATTTTGTTTGCTCTCTGTATTAAAGCAAATATTAAATGCTTTTCTCTTTCAGAAATGGCTACTAACCTTTTTTTTTTTTTTAATTTATTGGCATTTGCTTACTTTGATGAGTGGAAAACACATCTATCCTATAAAATAGCTTTTAAGTAGCATAATACATTTAGAATAAAAAAAATCAAACTTTCTTTTCTGGCCTTAAAATTCTTGATTCTGCTAAATATCATTGAAGCAAGTACTGTAGACTGCATAATCACCATGTGATAGAATTTCATCTGCAAGGATGATGTACAGTTTTGTTGTCTTACAATAATTGCACTGAATCTTTTGCATTCCCTCTCAGACTATCCTTTTCTTTTTATTATTTTTTCTGTCCAAAAAGATTACTTATCAGATGACTCTGTTCTCCAGATCTGATCATTTCACATCTACATTTAGTTGATATTCTTTTCCTATTCCAAGATTAGAACTTCCTAGGCTTGATGGGAAATAGTGGAGTTGGGAACCTACTGGTAAAGGAGTTGAATTGACAGATGGGCTGAGGCATTTCTGTTGCTGCCTGGCCATCAGGATGCTCTGTGGTAAAATTAATTCCTTTCTCATATATTAAATTCATAGACCAGTCATCAATAGTACACTTCAGTTTCCTAGTTAAAGCTGGATGAATGAATGTGAATTTTGCTTCTCTTGCACATGTCTCTGAGCTGTAGATGTCACTCTAGGGCTGACCAAATTTTGCAGGCTTCTTTCTTACCAAAATAATTTGCCAAGTGGAGGAGGAAGGTGCTGAAAATTTTAATTGTTTACTCCTGAAATATTTACGTTATCATACGTTAGCTTAAACAGACAGGAATTGCAGTAAAATTCTTGTCCTGAATTATGAATTATGGATAGTGGAAAAAACAACAGGTTTTCAGTACCTTACCTGACTGATAAGTATTTTTCAGGAAATACAAGTTTAGTGAATGCTAATTTTATTGCATTCAGAAGACTTCTAAAAGCCATATAGATGGCTTAAATTTTTTATTTTGTCTTAATCCTTAACAAACCCAGAAATTTTTTACTATATATGCATTTAGACAGGTACTTTAAGATGACTCCCATGTGAGGTGTCTAAAGTTGAATGCCATTTAAATAATGTTAGGCTGACTGGATCTCAGCCTTTGCATTCACTTATGTTCAGATACAGTAGTGTATTTACATTAAATTTAAAATTAAAGCACCAAAGAAAATCAACTGCATTTGATAAAGAAACCATCAAAACCGTGCTGAGGACAAAACTAGAATCCTGCTGGTATGGGGAGAGAGCAATTTATAGTGAGCAAACTAGCCCACTATATTACCAGTCTATTGAAAATAAAGATAGAATTTCCATTAGTCCAGTTAAAATAACACTAACACCTGTCAAAATATGAAAGACAGATGGGTTTTGATCCCTGAGCCATCAGGGAAGTAAGGAAGCTTGTGCTTTCCTCTGCCAGGGCCTGCCATTCCCCTCCCAGGAGAGCCCCAGGGAACCACCTCAGAGGCTCTGCCACTGCCTGAGAGGTATCACAGACACTGCCTGTGTTCCAAGGGCTGAGATGACATGGGGTCTGGATCTTGAACTCGGTGGAGTGATGCCCTGGGCCCAGGACAGACAGGGCCAGGAAGCAGTGCTCTCAAGAACCTGAAAAAACTATCCTGGAAACACTAGTTATTTAAATGAGGAAAACAGGGTGTTGTGCATATTGATCCTGTTTCTTTCAGATGTTATCCTACCATGTGTCAATTATTAAAAAAATCCATCAATGAACTTTAGAATGCATTTGTTTTTTTTCTGTTTCTCTAAAATTTTGTGTAGGAAAGAATAATATACAGAGGGCCTGCAGAGGACCACGGATGTTACGGGTACAATGTTCCCCACTCCACACTATTCACTTTCTTATTCTAATACTTAAAATTGCTTTCTGAAATCTGCCAAGAGGGTCAGATCCACTGTTAAATGGATTTCAAGGCATTTGAGCAGATAAGAGCCCATAGAAACTTCTGAGCTCTAAAGAACAAACCCAACAATTTGAAGCCTCTACTTCAACTGAAGGAAATGAGACGTCTGGAAGGCAGGTGACACTGTATTTTCTTAATCAAATTTTTCTGACAAATAGACTCATAAAACTATGCAAAATATTATAATTGATTTTCTTTTTTTTTAAGTACTCTACTTACATGCTGATATATCTTAAAATGTCATCCCAATGTTGTATTAACATGGTAGAATTTAAGTTTACAACTTTGGTGTAGCAAAATGGATGACTTTTCTAGAGACAAAACAGGCCTTTGGAAAGTACAAAATAGATATACTTAGAAAATGAGTGAAGGTACTCTCCCATTTGAGTACACAAATACAGTAAACATTCACGGAGATTATTCATCTGAGACAATCTGTATTAATTTTTAATGAGACAGGTAAAATAGCAGCTTGAAGAGAACATTTATCTTACTTTATCTGGTCTGCCAATATCCTGAATAGTGCTGGTTCAATTGCTATATGACTTCAACAACCTTCTGCTCTAAACCAGAACACATGATAGATATGACTTAATTTCTTCCAGAATACTTCTCAAAGAAAATCAGTGTCTTAAATTATTTATCTCATACAACTTGCACAGTGGTATAGGCTTTCTTTTTTCCTTCTATAGTGGTCATCCCCTTTACAGCCATCATTAACTCATTTTTTCTCAGTCCCTCTCTAAGTGTGATCAGATTTTTCAACAATTATACAAATACTTAAAAAACTGGTTCCACAACTCCATAGGATGAATCATTGCCCTTATTTTTTCCAGTCCATCTTCAAAAATTCCATGCTTTTTGAAAATGATTGCTTTCATGTCCAGCTTTTCCAATAGGAACTCTGAGGGAAAGGCTGCTGCCTAACAGAAAACTACTGGTCTCATCATGAAGAGGCTGAGCTAGAAACTCTTTACTGAGCTCGTATTTGCTCCTCCCTGCCCAGAACTCCTAAGACATTGCTGAGGATCCTTGGATTGACTGCCTGTGCTCCACACCTGGAGCTGAGATCCATCCCAGCTCTGGGATCTTGAGCCAGCTGCTGAAGGATGCTGCCGTGAGAAGCACATGTCTGGTTAATTATTCTTAAATGATCATATTTTCTGTGATCTTTTATTTTGTCTGATCCTTGACCCTTTTAGGCCAAGAAGGCAAACCTGAAAATGAAGTTTATAATTTTGATTTAATTGCATATGAAATCTTTTACTAATATGTAAGCATTTAATGAAAAAAATAGAGTCCTATGTAATTTCTTAAACTTTTAAAAGTCATAGTCTCTGTTAAGTTGTTTTACAATGTGACTTTAAATATACCTCCAGCAAAGACCTTTACAGAAAGTTTGTGAAATCAGTGTGTTACGTAAAATATTTAGATATAAATTTTTGCAAGTTTGTCACTTGTTACTTTGTGTAAAGAAATTCTGCATTATGATGGTTCTTTCTGAAAGTAGGTGTTTGTACATGTACATTGTGGACCTGTCAAAAATGATGTTTAACTGCTCATTGTGGTGACTCTTGAACTGATATGATGATGTAAATCCTGGGAAGTCTTTACATAATTTTCTTCTTAAGCTATGTGCATAAAGATGACTATTCTGAATATAAAGAAATCAGAATGGCATTTAATAGCAATGATATTCAGGATGTATATGCATCATTTTATTTTCTAAAAGCACAATAAAAAACTTAGCTTCCCTCAGCTGCCAATGCTTTTTGCTTCAAGAACAATTTTGAAATAAAGAAAAATTAGTTTTGTGGCCTACTAAAGATCTAAAATCATTACATCAAGGACTGGGTGATTAAAATACTCACTCATTGCCATTTTAATAGAAATAAAAATAACAATTTACAGAAGTTCAAATCCAACTTTCTTTAGTGCAGGATTGTCTCAGATTAGTGACATCAGCTCCAAATGGCATGTTTCCCTGCCCCCACAACAGGGGTGGGTCTTGAGTAGAACTAGCTTTATGACAGGACATATCGAGAGCAGAAAGATTCCAGACAGGGGACCCTCATGAGTTTAAAGCAACACTCAGACAAAGGACAGTATGATCAAGTTGGAGTTTTTGGGTGAATGTTGAAGAATTTAATTAGACTTTTCTATTATAACAGTCATGTAAGTGTCAAGAAAATGTTGGGGTTTTTTTTGTAAAGCAGACTATAACCTTTGAAGCAAGTAGGGTACTAAGCATACTAGAAAGTAACATTACTTTGAGGGAAAGATTTGTTGCAGTTGTAAGATTTTCCCTGGGAGTGACATTTAAATCACTTAAGCAGTGCTGTGTTGTTTATTTTTAAACAAAGTTGAAGATTTATTACTGTAAATAAACAAAATGAAAGAGTAGCAAGCACAAAAGTCAATAATTTAGGAGATATGGTGTCAAGACCACAGCAAGTAGAATTAACCTGTGACATTGTAGCTGTGGTAAACAGACTGCAGCAATCAATAATGAAATTAATCAACTTCAGATAAGTGAACAAAGAGATTTGTCTCAGATTTCAGGTCAAAACCCAGTCAAAGGATTCCTCCTCCCACTGATGGAAAAGTGTGAATGTTCAATCAAATCCTGAATGAACAACTGATGAGATTAATCCACATGTACTTAAAACATGGTAGAGAGTTCTTTAGCATGGAAACATGCACCTCATTTCTAAGTTGATCTTATTAAACGTACAGGATCAGCTATGCATCTTGTGTTCAACACTGGTATGGTCCATGGCTGTGGAAGCCATGGGGTTACAAAGGAGGAAACATTATACTCTGTCAGCTGTGCTTCTCCCTTCCCTCTTCTCCAAATATTTTGTGTATGGAACTGAGAAAGCGAAGAGGAAACCCAGGGCACTGTTTGTGAATGCAATTGTGTGAAGATGCAAAGACAAACAGAGAAGAAAAGATAACTCTCACTTAATAGCTTTGAAATGGAATTCTGTAGTGCTTGGGACTACAGTTGCCCTGTCAGACTTTTGAAACCATCAAGTCTGTGGCAAGATGCACTTTTCAATAAGCGCATTTTTGTTTTCTACCCCCCCATTCTATTCCTGTACTACTAGTGAAAATTTAACTTGGGAATGGTATTGCAAGCAACTCAAAATCTCTATGGGCAATTCAGCTTTGCATTTGTACTGGGAATTGTGTCAAACTTTATTAAAATGCTTCATAATTGATATTGGTGGTTTGTCTGTTCATACAGACATTTCTTTATTTCTCCTAATCATACCAAAGATTAGAAAATATTTCTGTTTTTATCCCTGCGGTTCTGCAAAAGCCACAACCTAAAAGAAGAGATTTAAGGCACTCCATCCTCAAACTGAAAAAATGTAATAATGCCATTTCAATATTATCATTGAGTCTTATATAATTTTCAGTCCTTGTATTTGAGTTTATAGCCATTTCTATGTACAGAAACAAGAGAAAAGTTTTCATTAACATGGAAGAAAGTACAAACTGTAAGCATACAGGAACTAAAACCGAAGGGTGGAAAAAACCCTCGTGGTTACTGGTTTTGTAAGAAAAACTTTCAGAATTTTTCTGGCTTGTGTTCTAGACTGGTTGAAGTACTAAACTGAATAATTTACAGTAGCCTTACTATCTAGGCTGGCTGACTAATCAGTTTGCCTTACAAAACAGAGAATGTCACCTGTTGGAGTAGAAAGCATAGTCCTTTCCAATTTAACTCTTGAAAGATACACTTGAAAGATTTTGAAAATTGAAGGAACTGCAGCCCGTGGGGACTCAAGCTGCATCTGTCGTTTTCTGAAAGACCAGTCTGGAGAGGTTCATGAAGAATTGTAGCCTGTGAGAAGGTCCCATCCTGGAGCAGAGAAAATTGTGAGGAGGGAGGAATGGAAGAGAGGAGCTCTTACAGAGTGACCACAGCCCCACATTCCTCATCACCTTGTTTTGCTCTGGGAAGGAAGATAGAGGAGTCAGGAGTAAAGGGGTAAAATCAAGCCTGGGAAGAAGGGGAGAGATTTGTCTTTGCTTCTCACCACACAACTCAGTTTCTAATTAGTGATAAATTATTGTGATAAAATAATTTTCCCCAAGTTGATTCAGTTTTGCTCCCCATAGTAAGTGTTTCAAACATACCAGAGTATGTATCACTGTGCTCAGTAGCCCTCAGTGAACAAATCCTTGGAAGAAAAAATCAAATTGCTTTTGCAACCCTTGCGAGAACTTAGTGCCTTCAGTCCCCTTTGGCTGTTTTCCAGTTTACTTATCCATCATGTGAAGACTTTTGTTTGTAACTGCCATCCATTAGTTTCATCTGGTATCATCTAATTCCCTTTTTTTAACTGACAGCGAAAAATGGATTTCTACTTTTTTCACTTCCCCTCATGACCATGAAGACCTCTTTCATATCTCCTTTAGTCATCTGTTCTTCCATTTCCACTGTTCAGTGCACAGAAGCCATTTCAAGTCACTCTTGTAATCCTTTCTCTGTACATCTTCAAAAATTCCTTTGAATCCTTTTTCAGAGGTAGGGGATCTACCCACAGTTGCACACCGTAATCAGGATGCTACTGAACCATGGATTCATAGTGTGTCATAAATCCCCTTGTTTCCTTTTTCTTTCTCAACCGTTTCTGGCTTTAAAATGATTATTTTTGATAGCTTCTGAATAGTGAGACAATTTTTTATATCTATCTATTATAAGTTTTTAGTTTTATCTAAGTATTTATTATTTTTTGTCAGTCAAAGGACCTACTTTTTATAAGTAACATATCAAATGGACAGAATCTGACATTTATTTAAAATGAATTCAATCTGTAATTATTAGAAAAAAATTTGAAATTCTCTTGATCCTGATTTACCTTTAGTATCTTAGCATCAGTAACAAAATTTGTCACTTTATTATTCACTCCTTTTGAAAATACGTTGAATTGCACAGATTCCCTCAGTGATCTGAGATGCTACTGTTATCTCCCTCTACTGAAAAAAACCCTCCTGTCCCATTTTTCCAAAGTTTTGATTAATTATTCATCCATTCTTCATCCTGAAACTGCCTACATAGGTCTGTATGGCATAAAAGTACTGTGAGCAAGTAAATATTCACACTCTGCAGAATGGAGTAAGCCATGTTACAACTCCTGACTTGGCTGGGCTCCAAAACAGAACAGAACATAGGAATCAGCTTCTGTTTCAAAAACAAGAAATCTATTTTGACTGTGCCATTCATCTGATGCACTGACCATGATCAAGTAACTAGTTGTGGTGCTCTGTGTTTTCAGCTGAATGGGGAAGTATTTTCTATGGCAGAATAAGTAAGGACCTCTTCATGCATTATTTCTAAAAAAAACAGAGAGAATTAACATTTTTTCATGAGTCAAAAATTTAGACTAGTGGACTGGCTGCTCCTAGAAGAAGGGATGTCTTAGAAGGTAGAATTTTCTATAGGTCACTGTTACGTGTTGTAACTGTGTGTGTAGTTGCACAGCAGTGAAGCTAAGAGGAAAACACAAGAGGAAGAAGATAGCATTCTTTCTCAACAGTATCTGTTGTATGTGACAGAAGGCTAATGTTTCAGTCAATTTTTGGCATGAGATCATTTTTGCATAGTTTACCAAACACAGTCACTGAGGGACAGCCATGTCTCAGTTGCCATGCAACTATGTAAATTGCAGGAGAAAAGAACAGATGTTATTCTTCTTATGCAAAAAAACATAGTTAATGAAAAACATGCTTCATGAGAAAAATGCTTAAATGTATGTCATTACTAATGAAGATGTAAATAATTACCACGGCCTTTTTGTGAGACTTTATTTAAGCTAAAATGTCAAACAAAACATAACAAGTATTTCACTACAATATCTGTCACCTAAATATGTTATCCAGTTCATGAAACAGAAAGGCAAGAAAAATCTAAACTCGCTCTTCAGAATGCATACTGTAATATTGGTGCAATATGATATTATGAGACATGTGTAAAATTTGCTATTGATCTCTAAGAATATGAAATTAGTGAGTCAAACCTGATTGATTTATGCCTTGTGTTCATGCAGAAATAAATTGACTACAAAATTTTGTAAAATAATATAATCCCATGAAACTGCCAGCAGTTGTCATATGTTATAGTACCATCTTCTAGTGTTGTATTTTGATCTGGACTCCATTGTTTAGGAACCAAACAAGTGAAAATATTTAAAATTTAATTTTTAATAGGAATATACTATGCTTGAATTAAATTTTCTAAT